CACCGATCGGAATATGAATTTTCTCTAATTGGGTTCGTGTATCTTTAGACCAGCAGCCGTTCCACCGAGTAGCGGTCGTCGAGGATGATGGCTCGCGAGGATGGCTAAACCGCGTGTAGTCGATATCAATTATTAAACGAGCGGTGGAAATTATTCAATCTTCCCCGTCGTCGCGATCAACCCCGTAGCCGAGTCGTTGAAAAGGCATATGTAATACATATCCGGTATATTCGGACTTGTAGAGAGACATATGGGAATATGTCTCCCGTACAGGACGATTCATAACTGCGTTATCAATCGAAAATAAACGCTTTATTCGCGGTTAAAGGGAATGAAAGAATACCACGTTCAAAACTTTCGATCCGATCGACGAATCAGTTTTTCATCTCGTTTAAATAAGGGTGCAAGTTTCTTTGAATTGTTCCAATACTCCATCCTTTGATTTGCCTTGCTTTGAATCACTTAATAACGAATAATTTTTTTTGCTATTAATTATGTTTACGTTCAAATTACCAAAGCGTATAATTCATATATTTAATTTCGATAGATACTCGATATTTTCAAAGATCGTGAGTTAATTTATATCCGAATTGTTCAACTTGGAAAAAGAAAACGAACGTTTCCATCCAGGAGAAAACTAAGATACATTGCATTCATTTATTCGTTTCGATGAATTACAGATTGATATTCGATGGATATTGGCGCTTTATGAATCACCTTGTACGGATCCACGTCACATCACACGCGTGTGGGGAGTATCACGTGTAAGTGTAGGCTCGGTCGCGGCTATGACATTTTAATGGCGTGCAGACAAGTTGAAGCCTTCGCGTTCCTCCGAACTCGCTCGATAAACCCTCGCGACTTCCTTTACCTTTTTTTCTTTTTTTTTTTTTTTTTTTTCTCGTTTTCTCCCGCGGAGAGCCGACCGGCATCCCCGTGACTTCGCTGAAAGGTGACGCGCCACGGAAACCAGTCCCAGGACCAACGAACCGTTCCCTTTTATCTAACCACCGTTTCCGCTAACGAGACGCGTTAGTTAATACGAACGATAGCGCTGTACACGCGTATTCAATTCGATCGATTCTTCGATAACGAGTGCTCCTTCTGCTTTTAGCTATGCTTTGAAATTGGATGGTAGGTTTATTGTTTTATTGAGAGAAAATGATTTATATATTTAAGATATTAAATTGTTTAACTTTTAGCATTTTGCAACTGTTGCCTTTTATATACGATAGTGTGATACATTCGACAACGAGTGTTGCTTCTCTCTGCCTACTTTTAGCTATGTTTTGAAATTGGATGGTAGGTTTATTTTATTGAGAGATGGTAGGTTTGTTTTATTGAGAGAAGAAAATAATTTATATATTTATCGAATTAAAATTGTTTTTTAGCATTCTTCGATAACGAGTGCTCCTTCTCTCTGCCTTTTAGTTATGTTTTGAAATTGGATGGTAGGTTTATTGTTTTATTGAGAGAAAATGATTTATATATTTAAGATATTAACTTGTTTAACTTTTAGCATTTTGCAACTGTTGACTTTTATATACGATAGTGTGATACATTCGACAACGAGTGTTGCTTCTCTCTGCCTACTTTTAGCTATGTTTTGAAATTGGATGGTAGGTTCATTGTTTTATTGAGAGAAGAAAATAATTTATATATTTATCGGATTAAAATTATTTTTTAGCATTCTTCGATAACGAGTGCTCCTTCTCTCTGTCTACTTTTAGCTATGTTTTGTAGGTTCATTGTTTTATTGAGAGAAGAAAATAATTTATATATTCAAGATATTAAATTAACTTTTAGCATTTTGCAATCGTTGCGTTTTATATACGATAGGGTGATACATTCGATGAATTCTTCGAATGCTGCTTCTTTTTGCTTCTCATTTTTAGGTATGTTTTGAAATTGAATGGTAGGTTTATTGGTTTATTGGTACAGAAGAAAATGATTTATGTATTTATCGGATTAAAATTGTTTAATTTTTAGCATTCTTCCATAACGAGTGTTGCTTCTCTCTGCCTAGTTATGTTTTGAAATTGGTAGGTTTATTGTTTTATTGAGAGAAGAAAATGATTTATATATTCAAGATATTAAATAGGGTTAAAATTGTTTAACTTTTAGCATTTTGGAATTGTTGTCTTTTATATACGATAGGGTGATACATTCGATGAATTTTTCGATAGTGCTGCTTCTTTTTGGTCACCTTTAGGTATTTTATTATTATTATTATTTTACTATCACGTTGTATTTCGAAAGAAAACGATTTATATATTATCGGTTTAAAATTGTTAAACATTTAGCATTTTAATCGAAATTGTTATTGAACGAAGTGCAACCTTTCATACGACCATTTCCCTTAACGAGACGCGTTAATTAATTCGAACGATAGCGTGGTACATTCGATGAATTCTTCGATAGCGAGTGCTGCTTCTCTCTGCCCGCTTTTAGATATGTTTCGAATTGGACGGTAGATTTCGTTTTATCGGGAGAAGAAAATGATTTATATATTTAAGATATTAAATCTTAAAATTAAAATTGTTTAAAATTTTTAGCATTCTTCGACCGTTTTATATACGACAGCGCATTTAACTATTTGAATTTGATGCTCGAATTATTATTTTATTGAAATTGTTGGTTGGCCATCGAATGATGTAATCGTCTTTTTATTTTTACAATCGTGCATAATCGTCGGATT